CTCATTGACAATCACATATGATTCCATGCATCCAGCTCTTGATCGTCTTCAATTGAACACAGCGCGTGCAAAAAATTCACATGATCATTAGCTCATAGCTTCGGGAAATTCATCACCTATGTACAGATCTTTTCAAGAAATCAAAATCACAATGAAAATTCATCTTTCACTTGATCTGTTGGATATCTACTGACAAATTCAAGATTCGCTCTTGAAGCTTCTTGACTCCTATAGACACCATAGGATCAATCCATGTCACACCCTCAACTATAAAAAAAGTTCAAAATCAATGTGCGATGGTGAAAGTGGCTTGGCCCATGACGGAACTAGGGATCTTGAAGTTCAAGTCAAGGGTTGATTTGTTGGAGTCAAAAGCTGTCACAAGGTGATAATGTCGCATTCAGAAGGCGAGTTGTCGCATGTGTGTTTTTTAATGTCGCACTTGACCGGTGCGCGGGGTGGATGTCGCAGGTCACCGTGTGTTGTCGCAGCCAAATTTGGCTTGTCGCACGCAGGGCATGTGTAGTGCCCAAGGCAGCGACACATGTCGCAGCCCCGAATGCGACATGACATTGCACCCGGTGTCAGAGAACTGAAGTTAAGACATGATATATTTTTGAAGAAATTTTGCTTTTTTGGATTATATCTATACAGTCATGAGGTGGGAGTTCAAACCCCAGGAGGGGACCAAGCACTTTTATCTTGCAGCTGAAAAATTTGCATCCAATTCTGAAATTGAATTAATTTATTCAACATTTGATTGGTGTTATATTTGAATCTGTGATTAAAATGATTGGTAATTAACTTGACTTGATTGAGGATTGAAATTGGAATTCTATCTTGTAGAGAAACTTCAGAATTTAAATTAATTTCAATCAAAATTCTTCCTTTAACCAGTTGTGTTTAAACATTATATCTTGTAGCCAAAAAATTTGCAAATAGATGATCTCTTCTACGTGTATCACGATCTGTTCTGGAGATGTGATCGTCATTTTCAAAAGTAGGCGCATCTGCAGGAGGTTGTCAAACACGTGTTTGGTATTGAAGACCTTCGCTTATGGTTCCTAAAACTCCTGACCAAGATTCATTGATTGAAATGAGAAAGTTGTGTAAAATCAAACAAACTTCAATCCATTGATTAGCATGCAGTGCGGTCAAAGCATCCCTGATGACCAATCTGAGCTCTTTCAAGGATTGGAATCGACCTTTCAACATCCCATTACAATGCTCAATGATCACACGCAAGGCACTGATTGCCTTATTGAAGGCATCTTCATCGGACCGCAGGCTGTGACCAGCACAACGCTTCAGACACGGTATAATGACGTTGGATACCGTGTAAGCTGAGTCGGCTAGTAAATATTCACCTTCTTCAAAATAATCATGTGGGTGTTCATACAACTTAAGGGAAATAACAAAGCAAGATGAGTGATTCACTCAATTTTTGATTTTCATCAAATAGATCACCGCGCTCACCTGTGAAGACCGGAATACCCGTTGGTCATGTACACTACCACACCAGCCCAGTTTGTAATACGTCACACATCGATTAATGTCACATACAAGCATGACATTGTAGGCGTAGAAGTTTTTGCGGGTCCAGTAATCTTCAGGGGTCTTCTGAGGTGCTGATGCAAGGGGAATGTAAGTTCCATCCACAAAACCAACGCAGTCTTTGAAGAAAGACATCGAGGAGGTTTGATCTTTCAGAATCGACCGTTCTTGAGGAGTGGGCCACCGCATGTACCTGTCTTTCAAATCGAGTACCGCAATGATGAACCGTTTTGTCCAATTTTGTACACTGCCTTCTGAGAGTAGATAGAGTTAAGATAATTTAGTGAAGAATATTAATTTGTCAAAATCATTCCTAAGAAACATACCGGAGCAATTGAACATTCTTGCAAGATGGAAATGGTCTCCACCATTACCAGCCGTTCCTAAGTTTGCCAGTGCCACCAGTGCCTGCCACCAAACAGGAGCTTGCTTCATGTTTGAGTTGGTTTGGAAGATTTGATTATCTTCGATCAAATCAATCAGCTTGTTGAAAGCTGCTTTGGACATCCGGGCCTGCAAAACAAACAATAAGCAAGTGAAATATCTGTTAATTCTAAATATTCTTTACTTACTAGCTTGATGAAACCATCGCCGCCTTCAATCAACACTTGAGTGAACCAAGCATCTCGCAGTTCCTTCCGGCCACGACAGATCCTGTTTCCAACAAAGCGTTTGTTATTTAAGATTTCGAGTGCTTCGTCTAGGACTTCAAGCTCTAAAGTCGCTCGTCTTCGCAGTTGATATCCCAAACAAAGGAGATGGTAGTTTTGATCCAAGGCGGGTAGCAACTCAAGAAGACCAACAAGAGTCACAAGAGCGGCCTTCTTTCTTTGATTGTCGGCGTTACCTTGGCAAAAGAGCTTTAAGGCGTGAAGCATCCGGAATAGGAAGAGACCCGCAGCGATTTCGACATTCGAATTGGCAAGGAGGGGTAGGTTGTTGTTCTTGAGCGCTTTTCTCGAGTGTCGTTCACTTTGCATTGATTGTCTTAGGTCTAGCTTTCGAGTGAATCGGGGCATGGTGTCGGTGCTGGCGAGTGAGTGCTGAGGAGTTCGCGGTGGGAGTTAGAACTGATAGTGGCTGAAAAAGCGTTCAAAGCAGGAGTCGTGCCCGGGCACGTGCCCAGAAGTCCAGATCTCAAATTTTGGCTGTGAAATTGGGATGTGGACTTGTGGGCACGTGCCCGGCTTTCTACTTTGTATCCCCCAAATGAAGCTCTTAATTGCAAAACACAACTAATGGCAACAATCCTCCACCCGGCTTTTTGAATCAAGTTCTTTGAAAAGTTTTTTGGAAAGACATCGTCAACTTACATCCATGCCGAAACCAATTTCAACAGATTATTCAAGGACTACCAGTTGCGGTCATCTCAAAAGAAAGCCACTCATGCACCCTCAGATTCAGGTAGGGTCTCAATTCCCTCGTCGTCTGCGCCGATTTTTGACCTGTATAGCAATGATGAGGAATACCAGGAGGACCTGGGCGATGACTCACAGGTGAAGGACTATTTCCGATCTGTTCTTTGAATGCAACAGCCAGAATACGACCTGGGAAATCCAAATGAATCTTTTCGCTGGTGGTCGGTAAGCATTCTTCCTCATGTCATTATTCCTCTCATCGTGCTGATCATCTTTATTATTCATCTTGTAATGTCTCTTTCTGAACTTTTAGGTTAACCATGGCCGGTTTCCAATCATAGCCTTGATGGCTAAAGATTATCTCGCATCTTCAGGCTCATCGGCTGGACCCAAGCGCACTTTCTCGGCTGCCGGTGACATTTGTTCAGCAAACCAAGGCGGTCTTACTCCAATCAGCATTGAGCGGTCTGTCTCAACCCATATGTGGCTGGTTGAGATGGTACCTCTTGGTGACGAGTTCAGCAAAGTGGTTGACTGCATCAGAGTCAAAGAATTCATGAGACTTTGAACTATTTAGGATTTTCTTCTCCTTTTATATTTCCTTTCTTACTTTTATATGTCTTGTTTCTTCATTTTCACCTTTTTGTTCAACTACAATCGTGATTTGTGATGATAATAAAGTAATTGCTATCTTGTGGGCCTTTTTTTATAGCGTGGTTAACGCGCTAGTTAGCGTTAACGTAACTGATAAAGCTAAGCTATCAATTTGAGATAGCGGGCAAGGTCCCAAAAAGCTACGTTATCCAAGATAGCGTAGCTTTCAAAGTTACGCTAGGCGCCTGGGAAATTTTCCGTTATCGGATAAAGTTACCCTACGCGTTACTGGGCTCGTAGCGCAGAGTTGCGCTGCTGTCTCAGTGTTGATTGGCAATTCAAGCGCTTGCTCTATCCACATAAGGTAATGTTGATGTCATACTTCTCCTCTTTCACTCCATTGTGTTTTGTCTTTTCATCTATCATATCATTCATCTAATAGTAACTCTGCGTGATTATCAATTAGTCTATCAAGTCAAATCAATCACATATGTTCAACCGGGTATTGTTTTTTTTCTATACGCCAACCAGATAACTCCAGGTAAGTTATGTTGATTGTTTGTGTTTGTGTCTTGCTTTGTGACAAAGATACTGATGAAAGTCACTATCTTTGCCTCAAACATCCCTGAAACAATCCATATCAACCCCAGACTTGAAGCTGTCAATCAAATCACTGGTTTTCACTTTGACCTTGCAATAGTCACTTCGACCTCGAGCTTTCAGGTAAGTTATGTTGATAATTCACATTTTCTTCTTGCTTTGTGACAAAGATCCTGATGAGAGTCACTTTCTTTGCCTCAAAGATCCCTGAAACAATTGATATCAATCCCAGACTTGAAGCTTTCAATGAAATCACTGGCTTTCACTTCAACCTTGCAATAGCTTTCATTATATGGACTTATATCTACCTATTGATTTGCACTATAATCTCCTTGTAGGTGTGATCTTTGGTAAGTGCAAGCTTTGGTAAGCATAGGTGTGTTGGCTTATTTGTAAGTGTGATACAAATCGACCGTTTGGAGAAGGTAATTCCGCTATTACGACTTATAACAAATTTTTGATTACAACTACAATTGGTTTATAGGTGTGATCTTTTGTTAGTTGGATCTTTAGTAAGCATAGGAGTGTTGGCATATGCGTAGGGGGGCAAGGTGATAAAGATGTGGGCATTTGTTGTGGCATAGATAGCCTTTATACAACTTGAATTACACACATTTGCCGGCTTTATCACCTTGCCCCTCTACTTTATGTTTGATCTTACCTATGTCTTGATATTTGCTTTCTCAAAACAACTGGTTTGAATCTGACTTACTTCAAAATATCCGCGGCAAGGCAGAAGAATTGCCAGAATAATGACCGACTTGGAACCTAGCTGGGACCACCATAAGCAAATAAAATATGAGGATGTGTAAGCTATGAAGTCCTTACTAAATGTCAAAGTTCCTTCAATGCCTTTGATTCTAATCCTTAAGATCTCCAAGCGGGGGCCCACACATGGGAGGACTTCCAGGAGTGGTGTACTTATCCGACCTTTTAAAGGTGATTGATGCAAAACGGCAGACTGGATTTAATGGTGATGATGTAAGCTGTTCAATACCAATCAAACACAACTTGTAGACTATTACTAACAAGAAGTGATTCATTAATTTGTAGCTTCCGCCTCCATTCACACAGCCTAAATCATTCATAGACGTACCTCATCATTTACTGGCCAAAGATGGTTTCCCATTGCAAGGGAATTGGCGCGATCCAGCTTGTCAGAAAGATATAAGTCAACCAAAGCCTAGGCCCCAAAAGCATGGTGACCAAGTAACATTAGTGAGGTTAAATTTACTATAAATATTTGAATGTGTAAGTGCTAACCTTTCACAGATTCTACAAGGCTAAAAACTAGTGGGTTGTTGCCATCTGGGGTAAAAGAGGGGTTGAAATCAGGTGTGAACAAAGTTATTGACCCACTACAAATTCCTCCTAAGTAAGTAAACATATATTTAACAATAACTATTGAAAGAATAATTACTGACCCATTATATGTTTCTACTAGGCTACCAACTGGCGCGTTGATACCATCCGGGGTGGAAGAAGCAGAAATCTTAGGAAAGAGATTGCCTGGGGTCAAAGTGGTCAAACCCAAGCAAAATCTTCCTAATTAGTAAGTAGTCATAGTTTTTGTACAGAGGTCAATAGAATTCTTAAATTTCAAACTATGTAGTGAACGTCAGCCAATGTCTTTACCATTGCTTTATGACTTGGAGCAGGGTAAGGAAGGAGTCAGGGTCCCAGTTGCTGGGAAAGTACAACGTGGGGCTACAACGTAAGTAGTCTTACATTACCTATGATAGGTGTCATTGCAAGCAGGCTGAGAAGGGAATAGCGGCGCATAAGGGTGATGTGTCTTTGGGTTTGGAAGCGTCAAAGCCTGGTGTATCGTTCAGAAAGGATTGTTGAAGGTTCAACAATCCGTTCCTCCCAGTGGAAGACTATGATTGGACTATGGAGATTGTGTCAGAATTTTATCAAGTCATTGACCACGGCCATGGTCAGTTAGTAGATAGAAAAACTAAAAAGCTTATTTGTACCTTCACATTTGAGGATTTGGAAACAATGGATGAAGATAAGTGTCAGGAACATCAGAGTGATGTGGAGACAGTCATGAAGGCCACGGAGCTCTTTCAAAGGTTACCTACCCAAGTTCAGGTGCCTTGATTACGATTCTGCCTTCAAAGAGCAGCTCTATCAAATCAATCAAATCATTTCCCGTTACCCGTGGAAAACCTCAATACTCAACTGTCTGCACCGCCATTTCCTGCCGAAGATGCTTCCTTGTGTTCTTCCCCTCTTTCATTGCTACCACGCTCTGATATTGATGAAATTTAGTTTAGGGACTTGCTTCATGGTGAAGCTGTTGATCTCCTACCTGAAGACATCAAAAATCAAGTTCACAATCTAGTGGATTGCCCTCAGTATGCACCTTCTAGTGAATCATCACCTCCCACATCACTCTCAGTACTGGAAGCAAAGATTGCCAATGCTAATCCTACTTCTGCAGTTATCAATGCCAAAGGCTAAAAGTGCACCACAAATGGTGCACTTCTTCACGGTAAAATGTCTTGTTTTGGTGCTCGAGCTGGTTATGATAGCGAGATCCTATATTTGCCTTATGTTCCTCACCATGGTACCTTGCTCTCCCTTTACAAAATCTTTCTCAGTGAGCTTTGAAACTTTGGTACTCATGTTGGTTCATGCTTTGAAACATTTGCCAACAAGGCTTTTTTTGCCGCCCGAAAGCAGCTCAAAACTTTGAATGCCCCTGTGATGACTGCGCTACACCCTTTCAAAAGTAATCAATTGCACAAGATGAGATATGTTGATTGTTTTTTTGTGCAATTAGTAAGAGAATCTTGTTACAAATCTTGCTGATAAACTTATACAAACAAGAGATCTATGATAGCACAAAGGATCTTCTAAGTTTGTCATAATGAAACAAGGGTGTCACCATATTCTAATGGTCAAATAGGGACATTGAAGGAAGTTCATGTAGACCTATTGTTTCCAAATTCTGCCACCAAGGAGAAAAATTTCTGTTGCTATTTCTTTTACATCTACAAAGGGGTGCTGGCATTTCACCAAAGTCTAACAAAGAAGTGAATAAAAAAATCCCTTTTTTCCAAATGTCTCCATGTGTGTACATTGATGTGCTGTTGGAAAATGGTCACTGTATTTGCCTTTGAGCTTTATGTTGTTTTAGCAATAGGGCTGAAAGGATTGCTATGTCTTCTTCCTGTTTTTTCTTGCAATGGTTTATGTAGGCACACTGGTCCAAGGAATATGACATCATGAGAACCTAAGAAAAGAGGATGATTTGTCTGACAGTTCTTCATTGTCATCATCATAATCCATGGAACAAACTAATGTCAAAGAATCCACTAAGTTGAGAAAGAAAGTTGATGAAATGGGTGAACTTGAGGGTGTGGTGGATGCAAGAATAGAAAGAATTGTGATCATGGTGTCACGTGATGATAACACCTTCCTACGGGCTGAGAATCTAGGCATCTTTGAGGGGGATGGGACAGCTTTGGATGGGTTGGGGCTCTCAAACCTCTGGGGCTACCCACATAAAAAAACATATGAAAAAACCAAGAGTTCCATGTCATACTTGTTTTCTCATACAATTATTTATGCGGGTTTTCACATTTGTGTACTGCTAATCATTGTCAAAACGGCTGTACCTTCATATTTTCTGAACTTTTGGATTGTAATGGTAGAAGGTACCCAAAGGCACGACGGTACCTTCGATTTCCACGAATACGCATATAAGCATCAGACGGAGGCACGTGACTATCCCAATACTGGGATAGCTGTAGGTGGCAGATACACCAAGGGTCTTGTGAAGAATTTCCACATCCCACTCGTATCGCCAACCTTTTTCCTCCCTCTGGACTCCCACGAGCGTATTCAACCTGTCTGGCATTCCCAACTATCTCACTGCTCTCAGCTAGATTTGATCCGCAAGACCAAATCCTCTCTTTTTTGTCATCTTTTTGTCAAATTCTTATCGAATTAACGCACACAACAATTAAAAAAAAAAAAAAAAAAAACTTTTCGTATTCTACATCCTGATTGATTGACATCCCTTCATCTTCTACTCATCACATATTCCGTTACACAAGTCTAAACCAATATCGTGGAATGTCTGCACCAAATAACATCAAAGAGTTCAATGCACAAGTAAAGAGAACAAGTGAAAGGTTGAATGGTGGATCCACCTTACCAGCAGACGCTCAGGCAACAACCGGGAACCAGGAAGAAAATTCTCATCCAACGAATACCGGGGGAGATAACCCAGGAAGCCAGTCAGCGGCTCCAAGAGGGAAAGGCGCCAAAGGGAAGAAGGCGACAACTTCCGCAACCTCGACTAAGGAGCAAGGCAATAACGTCAGTGCGGCAGACCAGATTACGTCAGGCAGTCGGAATGGCAACCCGGAAGCCCCAGAGTCCTTAGTGGAGAAGCAAATCCCCGACAGCTCTATAGGCGACAAGACCTTACCTGGCAAAGAAGCGGCAACAGAGTCAAGTACGACCAAGGTTGCAGACGCCTTACCTGCCAGCACCGCCAGTGGGAACATGCCCGAACCAGGAGAAGCCGCTCAGAAGCAACCCGCCTTGGCGTCGCTGATCGCGCCAGAGGTGATAGGCAAGCAAACGGCCGGAAGTACAGCTTGTAAGCCAATTACCCGTTTTCTCTTCCGCCTATGTGCGATGCCGCTCGTAGCGAAGCCACGTCGTGATGCCACCAATCGAGGGTGATGCTCCTAGGAATGTTATGAGAGTAGAGTGCTAATGATGATGCCTCCTACGTGTGCGGTGTAGTACCAGTGGTCGTTGGCCAGACGGCTCAGTCGAAGTTCTTGGCGAATACCAATACAATCCTCACGAGAATCAACGAGTGCTCCCCCGATGCAATCAGGGCGTGGCTGCAATCCAAAGGTTACGACCGAGTTGCAATTAACCCAGCTGGAGCTCCTACCGCGGCTGCGAAGAACCCCTCTGTTGTCGATCCAAGCAACGCCCAAACCGGGACTAACGCGTCACGTGCAACACAAGAAGAGTCTGCGTTAGCTGCGAGAGCGTCGACCACCGCGATCAAGACAGCGACCAAGTCAGCCAAGAGACCGATACCGGAGAGCTGTGATCTGACGAAAGATGAGGACGACGGGCAAGGTGAGAAACCGACCGCGAGCAAAGTCATCAAGTTTAGCGACTCGGGTATAGAGTCACATGGTCTCGTGTCGTTGTCGAAGTACTTTGCGGCAAAGATGGTGGCCCTAGATTCCTATATCCCCCTCTCCGTCTTTAATAGCCAGTGGCTGCGTCAAGACCTGCTGCAACAGTCCATCAGGAAGCGATCAGTCAAGGAGAAACTAGAAGATACGTACATCGGCCTCACAGTCCCCCTGGAGTGGAAGATGACGTTCGGAGAGTGGGTGGTAGCGTTCGATTTGTTCATCGCCTATTTAGAGTACTACAAATGGAAGGAGTTAGCCGACAAATTCCGGTTACATAAAGAGAATGTATTCGCAATCAAGAGAGAGAATGCCAACTGGCCTGTAGCCTTTCGATATGACCTTGCAGTACAAACCGCCGTAATGACTTTCCGACTGCCAGATGGCTCTGTTGCGAACCCAGGTCTTAGAGATGGACGCCTAGAAAGAGAAGCACTGCGTGAAACGGAGCGTTTGAAAGACTTCTTACCTGCTTTCAAAGAAATCAACCCATACGCCGATGGAGAAGTGAAAGCGTTCGTCGACCCGATAACCGGTGTGGACAACAGACCAGTCACGTCCGGGAACGGTCAAAGCTTTGGTAGACCTACCCCCCGGTCGCAGAGCTTCTCGCAACACCAAGCTTACACGAGCACTCCAGTGTATGACGGACCAGGCGGTTCCAATACCAACTTCAATGAAGGAGGACGGTTCGACCACCGCAACAACCGTCCAAGAAACAGAAGAGGCAGTTGGCACGGAAATCAAGGTGGACGCGAACGTAGCCCCCAAAGACGTAGATTTGGTGGAGGTGGTGAGGCCTGGCGTAAAGAAGAGAGGCGGGATGACCGTAGAGGTGACGACCGGGAAAACGGTGGACCTGCTGGAAAGGCAAAGTAAGCCTCCGGTCACTGTTGGTTTCTTTACCCTCTCGCGTGAAAGATGAGAAAGGCATTCACATAGTTAAGATGGTGATGTGATCTTGGCTAGACTGTATACGTCCCGAGAGTGGATTTCCTTTAAATGTGTATCGAACCGTTGTTCTGTTCCTCACTAGGCACACGTGATGCTGTGACCTACCTGCTTTAAAGCAGCTGTTGTGACCTGATTGCTGGCGCTTGTAGAGACAGAAATGCAACTACTTCTTGGATTTAGTATTCTGACGTGACTTGCCCCATTATTCCTTTGACAGTAGACATAAGAGGATCCAACTGTTAACGGAGAGCGTTGACGGAAACAGAAATGGATCCGTAGATGTTGACATGACCCATAGTCAGGTGAGGAGTGATGACGAAACGGTTCTCCTGAAGAAATATGTGAACTCGGGAGCTGGGTATAGCCCGCGTTGGCCACCTGAAGACGTAACGTGCGGTCTGAAGATACCAGAATGGAGGCTGCTTGCAAGAGAGTGTGGACTTGAAGCCGAGGCAGAAGAGGTGATAGTAGGCCTGTTGAAGGGATTCCATCAAGGGATCCCCGAACACACCTTAGGTCGTAGACGCTGGTATACTCCCGAAAATCACACGTCTGTGCAATTCGCAGCAGAAAAGATTAAGAATACGTTGGCGAAGGAGCATAGGGAAGGAAGGATCTTCGGCCCCTTTACTCACGAAGAGGTTTTCGAAAAGATGGGCTTCTTTCGGTCTAGCCCGATGGGAAGCGTGATAAATGGCGATGGTTCGTTTAGGGTAATAAATGACATGTCTTTCCCAGAAAACGATGCAGAAATACCATCAGTCAACAGCTTGGTAAATAAGAAAGAGTTTGATACCACGTGGGATGATTTCAAGGTTATAGCGGGGTTTTTCAGGAGTGAGAAAGGAAAAATTTTACTGGCCATCTTCGACTGGGAGAAAGCCTATAGGCAAATCCCAATCCACCCATCTCAATGGCGCTACCTGTTCATATTAGACCTCCAGAATCGCTTGTGGCTAGATACAAGGGTTCAATTCGGTGGCGTGGCCGGGTGTGGCGTATTCGGGAGACCGGCAGATTTGTGGAAGTTGATCGTGAAGCATACGTTTAAATTGAAGGGCGCCTTCCGCTGGGTGGACGGCAACTTGCTGGCGAAGGAAGTTGACAACGTGACGACGATTCAAGACGTGGTGACCTTGAGCGACTTGATGGGAGTAGCTTCAAATCAAGAGAAGGTGCATGAGTTTGGAACTGAACAGAAATATATTGGCTTTGTGTGGAACTCTTTAGAACGCACCGTACGCCTGCCAGTGGAGAAGCTTGAAGAAAGAAAAAACCAGATCGAATACTTTTTGACACCTGGAGGTTCATTCACCTTCAAAGAAACAGAAAAACTAGTCGGAAGGTTAGTTCATACAACCTACATCGTCCCGAGCCTGGTTTGCTATATGACAAGTCTGCATAGATGGAAGAAAGAGTGGCACGTACCTTTGGCAAGAAGGAAGCTACCTAATGACGTAGAAGTTGACCTTAAAGAATGGAGGAGTACCTTGAACTCTTTTGAGTCAAGGAGGATTATTCCAGAGATCGATACTACAGATGTTGATTGGGTTGGCGACGCGGCAAGCTCCTTTGGGATCGGTGTCTTGATAGGTGCTAGATGGGCCCAATTCAAACTGAAAACCGGCTGGAAGCGCTACCTGAAGGTTTCAGACAAAGGTGGCATCGCGTGGGCGGAAACTGCAGCAATCCGATTGGGGTTGATCATGGTCAGCAAGGTATACGACGTCCGAGGGAAGAAGTTTAAAGTACTGACCGATAACACAACATCCGAATGTGTCGTCCAGAAACACCGATCGAGAGATGTGGCGGTGAACAAGGAGTGGAAGCGGATCCAACGACTCCTTGTAGATCTCCATTGCGACATCGTAGCTGAGAGAGTCGTGTCTGCAAGCAACGATGCGGATGAGTTGTCCAGGGGGATAGGGAAGCTTTGGCCGATGGCTGATTGTGTCGTGATAGAGTTACCCGCTGACCTAAAACCTGTATTAGTGCAAGTGTTTCAGGGGCGTAATCGCTTGTAAGCCATAGATGTGTGGTAACCCAATCGGATAACTTGCAAAGAGTGGTGAATCTACCTTGTTCCCAAACTTCCCGTGTCCCGTTCGTAATCCGTGAGACTCTCAACACCCCCCGTGAGACTGTGAGCCAGACACAAGAGCAGCCAAACTCGCACAGTCCACCATCCAGAGAGACGATGAAAGAGTTTCTAAATGGAAACATCAAGTGCGACTACGACCCGGTAAAGGCGTACATACTGTATGGAAGTTGGGCTCCGACGACGATCAAGCATTATAATGCCGGGGTGTCCAAGTTGGTAGCGTTTTCGAAGGTCTACAACATACCTAGGAGACTCCTTCTACCTATCGACTCGGAAACACTATACCAGTTCGTTTTGTGGGCGGGCCCACGCCTCCCGGGGGATGTATCAGATGATAATCACACACCGATACGAGCGGAGACGATACGGACCTACTTGTCGAGGATCAAGGCCTGGCACCTGTATCACGACCAGCCCTACCCACACGATGCTACACCTCGAGTCGAGCTGATGTTGACCACGGCCACAAAACTCGACCTGAAGAAGAAAGAGCGGTCCTTGAAAGAGCCGATCTTGATTAATCACCTCTTCTTGTTACTGGACCGGTTGGCGGGAGGAGGCCTAGAGGATCAGGTAGCATATTAGCCTCTTGCTCGAGGCACACTGAGCTAGATTTGTCCATGGATAGAGTAACTTAATAGAGACACGTATACCAAAAGAGGAGACATAAATGAAATAAAGAAAATTCACAAGAAGGATCCCATGGAGATCCGAATGGGAAGAAACACCAAAATGGATACACAGGTTTAGAAGGAAATGGTCAAGAAATACCTCTTTCCCGTCTTCCCATTTTCCTACCCACTTCATCTCATTTATCTCTTGAATTTTCCTTTTTACTTTACTCTATCCAATAGTTACAATTTTATTCACAAGTATAACTATAACTTATCTTAAACACTTACTAACAATTTTTTTAGAACTTATCAATAAACCTAATTCTTCTCAAGTAATTCTAACCAAATCCAAGCAACCCCCTTTCAAATATCGTTATCAACTCTATATTCTAGCATAAACTACCTACATACAACTATCCGAGTTAAACCTGTCCAAACCCACTGTTGTTCACCGACTCACCGACATACATCTCCATCAGTAGACGACAAAGATGACTAAGAACAATTCAACCACGTTGAAGGCAATTAGGGCAAGCAGACGAGTCCAAGGTCTGGAAGTTAGCCCCGAAAGAGGTACAGGTGCATCAGGAGGGAACGAAGCGGGACCGTCTAACCCTGAACTGAATCTCATTTCAACCAACGAACAACAAGAAGAAGATAACAAACACTCGGGAACAGATGAAGAAACAGAAGGATTAGAAGCCCAGTCAGAAATCAAAGAGAAGCGTCAACCGGATCCAGTACCACAAAACCGGAACTACTCCAACTTCATCGGAAACGTGCCCATCCCGTACCCAGCAGAGGCAAACCCTCTTTTCAACGCGACAATCAGAGTCCCAAAAGGCAAAGAACGGGCAGAAACATCCTCTTCCGATATAGACGACTTAGCAGGTGACTTTGTAGATGAAGACTACAAATCGGTAGGAGCCTCTGACGATTCGGGAGTCGTAGACGGGGAAGAACACCAAGCGTCTTCTGCATCTTTAGGATCTTCAAACGGAGAAGACGATCCAAACAGCTCTAGTTCAAGCTCGGATTCCGACAGCGAAGAAAGCGAAGAAGTTTCATCGTCAGAAAGCGGGTCAGAAGACTCAGAAAGAGAAGTGAAGAAAGGTAAGGGAAACACAAGTTTTATTGGATCACGAAACACCCATACAACTCCACTTTCTACTTCTACACACTCCCTACCCCGCTCTAAAAAGAAAAGGCTCTTAATATCATCCCAAATTCCAAACCTTTATCCATCACTCCACATTCCGAACTTTTGATCTCGTTCAGTGACAATTGATTCACTCACAAATCTATATTAATCGGTGATGATTGATTCTCCCGAAAGCTCCCAAGATAGGTAGAGCGCCCATCTGAATAAGACGGAAGAGATACACATAAAAATATCTGCCTTATTAGGTGCAATTAAGGCGTAGAAGTCATAAAAGTCATAAAAGAACTGATCTAGCTGAAAAATGCAGAAGAAGCGAAAGCACATCTCATAGAAACAAATGAGACTAGAGAGCAGTCAAAATTAACTTGAAAAATGGTTCTCTCCTCTGATACAGATAAGAAACGTAAACGCACATCAAAGTTAAAGAAGAAATTAGAAGATGCGAGAAACGAAATCAAACGATTGGGGAAGATAGCAAATATCAAACCATCGGAAGCGACTAAGAAATCTAAAAGAAGAGCGAAGAAGACATCAGACAAAAAGAAACGTAGCAAGAAGAACGGGATACAAGTAAACATAGGTGTCATCCCAAAGTCAGACTTAATTCAACTACAACCGTTTTGGAGGAAACAAATGAAGAAGTTGGAGTCCTCCATTCCCTTGACAGTATTCGACCAAAGTTTTGCGCTAGCAGACAAGGAGGAGTACGAAAGACAACACCATTCGTCATCATCGAAAACTTCTAAGAACAAAGGTTTGGAGGCGCCATCAGAGTTCAAAATGACCTATGGGGAGTGGACCGAAAACATAAGTCTGTTCAAACGTTACTTGATTCAACATAAACAAAAAGAAGTTGCAGAAAGACTCAATTTCCACATCAAGAATGTGAAGCAAGTCAAGTAAGCGAATCTGTATGCAATGTATAGAAGAAAAAGATACTGACAGTAGAACAAGAGAACAGGAGATCAACAGAGTGTTGGATGACGGCCCTACGATATGACATACTTTGTAGACGACATATCTTTGTCGAAAGATTAAACAAAGAACCAATAAAGGATATTGGTACATTCATGAAGAAATATGAAGACAAAGCAAAGGATAAGTCATTAAACTTTGGAGAAGCAAACGGAGGCGAAACAAACCCTTACGCGAAGGGAGGTAAACTCGAATGGAGACACCCAGAGACTGGAGTATCACTGTGAGTAAAGAAGAGTTAAGAAGAGTAGAAGAAACAAACTAAAAAAGAGACCATCACAGAAACCAACATTCAGGTAACGACAGCCAACAAACAGCATCGAGCTCTAGAGATTACAACAACGAGTTTCATAGAAAACGAAGAGGCCCAAGACCAAACAGAAATTTCTCATACGGTGCAAAACCTGGATTCAACCAGTACCACAAAAGACCGAGTTTTAACCACAACGTTCCATTTCATCAGAATCAACTACCAACAATCCATATGGGTTTCACGAATCAAGGACAACCGAATTTAAACCAAGCACCAATGAACGTGAGCCTGACCTCGAATCCAAATGTCGCTACGAATAACCAAACGCAACCAAATAACTACAACGCGTACCAAGGAAGAGGAACAAGGGGTACCTGGAGAGGAACTAGAGGAGGTATAGGTAGAGGTACAGGGAGACAAGTGCAGAATGAGACGTAAGTGTACATCAGAGACATATTTCAGATTCATTTCACAAATTTATACACCACGCTCTTTAAACTATACCTGTATATTTCACTACACCTAATTTGTTTCAAGTCACTCTTTAATTTAAACTACTTTCATAATTCTGTTGTGGCGCTGTTAAGCTTAGAAATTTCGAGACACTCCTTTAATCTATCTTGTACCCATGTAAACTTGAAATGAATTCTTATGACAATTTGCTTCATATTAGGAATGAAACGGAGAATGAACGAATTGAAATAAGAGAGAAAGATATTGAGAAGTCAAGAGAAAGTTCAGAAGAGAAACCATCTTGGCCAACTAAAGCAAGATGTAACATGGCGATAGAAAAATGGGAAGAAGAGCTAAAAAAATATAGCTTACTACCATTCTATGATTTCGTGCTAGATGGATTTCGAAATGGTTTCGACCAAGGAATTCCGGAACACGCAATAGGAGGAATGAAATATTATTGTCCACCGAACCACAAATCAGCTCAATTAGCAAGAGAAAAAATCAAGAAGAGCATAGAAGAGGAGGTATTAGCTGGAAGAATGATAGGTCCGTTCACAAAAGAGGAGGTAGCAAAACATTTTAAATTCTTTAGATCAAGCCCAATGGGCGCTGTAATAAACGGTGACGGATCATTCCGCCCAATAAATGATCTATCATTCCCGAAAGAAGATCCGGCAATACCTAGCGTAAACTCCTTTGTGAACAAAGAAGACTTCAAGACAACGTGGGATAACTTTTCAAGAGTATATTCATTCATTGCAAACTCAGAGCACGAACTTCTAATAGCATTGTTCGACTGGCTAAAAGCATATAGGCAAATTCCAACGAGGCCGGACCAATGGCTGTACCTATTAATTATGAATTTCGAAGGGAAGATGTACATAGATTTATTTATTTCGTTTGGAGGAGTAGCAGGATGTGGAAGCTTCGGAGGTCCGGCTGACGCATGGAAAGATTCGATTAAAGCTAAATTTCAACTTGAAGAAGCATTCAGGTGGGTAGACAATAACCTGCTTATAAAACGATCAGATTCAACGGTGCACATGGACGAGATAGTCGAATATAGCTCAAGTTTAGGTGTAAAAACAAACGAAACAAAATTTTCTCATTTCAGCGAACAACAGAAATACATAGGTTTTCTGTGGAATACAAAAAACAAGACCGTAGAACTACCGAAAGGGAAATTGGAGCAAAGAACAGAGCAATTAGAATCCTTCTTGAAGAAAGTAGACTATACACATAAGGAGGTTCAAAAGATGAATGGCCGACTCAACCACGTAGCATACATTGCTCCACAAATGAGATGCTACTTATCAAACAATTATAGATGGCTAGCAGAGTGGGTGAACTTAGCAGCCAAAAGGAAGATGCCGATAGCAGTTTGCGAGGACATGAACATATGGAGAGATGCATTAAAAGAAATCCCTAGAAGACACCTTTTGAAAACAAGACCAATCAACAATATTGGCTGGGTAGGCGACGCATCGACGATGTTTGGTGTAGGCGTGATAATACGAAAGAACTGGGGTCAGTTTAGACTTAAGGCTGGATGGGAAGACCCTCCCAATAAACCAAGGAGAGGAATAGCATGGTTAGAAACCGTAGCAGTACGCCTAGGTTTAATCATAGTAAAGAAATTAAAAGACATAAAAGAAGAAAGATTACTAGTACTGACTGACAATACGACTACCGAAGGAGTACTACAGAAAGAAAGATCAAGAGATTATTGGGTAAACGAAGAGTGGAAGAAAATTTCCAAACTCCTATTTCAATACAACGTTCAATTAGAGCAAAGAAGAGTGACATCAGTCGATAACGCAGCAGACAAGTTATCTCGCGGCATACCCTCGTCAAAGGAATGGTTCAGGCAGGTGCACATAGAAGTCCCAGATGACTTGAAAATGTGGTTAGAAGATGTGACAATCGATCAAGTAGAGGAGAAAGACATCGTAAGTTTGTTACGACTGGGAAAGAAGTAACGAGAATGATCGCAGAAAGACTAATCGAGCGTATTATTTAGACAGGAGTAGGAAAGACCCAAACGAGTCAAGAGTATTCCAAATACAACATATGATTCACAGCCCAGGGAAAGAGAAAGTTCCCACCATTAAAAAAGAAGAGAAGTAAGTGATTGACAAAGACTGATATGAATCCGATTGATATTCCATCTTCTCATAACAAACTCATTTTGACCATAGAATAAATTTACACTTTCCTGTCATCAACCACTGTTAACTTCCCCGTTTCAACCCATCACCCATTTCCATTTCCTTTTTCAACTCGATAACATCACAACACACCTTATCACAACTCTCTACCCTAAACTATTGCGCGATTCCTCTTTCGATTAACTATACACTCTCAAAAAAGCGTTTAAACAGAAGAAGAAATCAAATCTGTAAACAACAATCAAATAGTGAGTAATGGAAAGAATATCACATGAAACTAAATCGAGTAACGATAAGTAACGGAAGGTCACACTACTAGGTTAATAGACACGACCGATACCCATACCCTTGTACCGGTGTTACAACACGACACAAACCACAAGATTTACTGAAGAATAATGAAAGATATTTCCACCTTCCTACGAATCGACGACAACATACCTCTCAAGCTGAACACCGCACAACGTCATATGCTAAGAGCAGCATGGAACAGATCAACCCTCGAATCATATGCGTCAGGGGTAAAGAAGTTTAAGCGGTTTACAAAGGAGAAGAAACTGATAACGTTTCCGGCGACTGTAGAAGTGGTAGAAAACTTTATAGTGTGGGCTGGAGAGAACGAAGATAGGAAAGACACAAACAAACCAGTTAGAGTAACCACGATCAGGAAGTACCTTACCGCCTTACGGACTTGGCATGCTTTTCATGGGTACTATTTTCCCGACATCCAACTCACTCGCTTAAAATCAATAATACGCGCATCAGAAAGATTAGAGGCTAAAGCTCCTTTCATGAAACTTGAGCGAGAACCGGTGACACCGAAAGCCCTGGTCATCTTGATTGGTAGCATAGCAGAACACAAAGCAGACCCCGTCGGCTTAACAGCACTGGCCCTCACGGCCTATTGGGGACTAGCACGCCTAGGGGAAATTGTATGCAAGGAGGAAACGTACAACAAGTACGATCTCACCGCAATCCTTCGATGCGACATATCTTTCCACGTATTGAAAGGGACGAAGATTGCTGTGATAGCACTACGAGAGGCAAAGACCGCCAAGCCGGGCGAAACTCAGCAACTAATTCTTTGGGAAACACACGGGGTCCTATGCCCCGTGGCAGCCCTTCAACGACTAGCAGACTCCTTCCTCTGGGAGAAAGATCAGAGGCTGTTCCTAACACAAGGACCTAACGGCATATCAGGAATCACTCGGAAGAAAATGGTAGACGCAATGTTAAAGGCCTGGGGACAGAAGTCCAAGATGACAGGACACTCTTTCCGAATTGGGGGAGCGACACTTCTGACGAGGGCAGGAGTACATACAGAGAGAATAAAAACTCTAGGACGTTGGAAGTCGTCCTGTCACACTCTCTACCAACAAAATTGGAGCGACCGTGAATGGGAGACGGCCAAACGGGCACTGAAAATCTCAGAGGACGTCGTACCCTGCTTCAAGACTTCGCATGACCTATCCACAGCGACATGGGTTCACAACCCCCTATTGGACAATCCGCCGGAAGCTTGGATAAGAGACAACACTATCCAGCGCAAGAATGGGTCATGAGTCCCAACAAATTTTCCTACAGATCTACTGAAACTCAGGTTGTGGATGACCGCGCAACCGGCATCTTCATATTAGCTCCAATTTTCTCATGTATCGAATTTCACTGTTTTCCTTTCTGTTTGAATTTTGCTAAGAAACGATCCATCAGTTTTTCTCATCTCAGGTGTCTTGAATGAAATACAATATTCCATTCTGAGCATTCGCTCCTCAAAACATAGAACACCTACCGCAACTCAAAGCACAGACACGTCTAGTGTCAGGTGTAAGGGGAAGCCCGCCAGGCTCAGGCCTGACCCCAGACCAGAGAAGGGGGAGTCGTCCTTTCCCTATTAAACACCTAAGTCACTTACCATACTTCTCCGGAACAGAGAGTTTAAGCCATCGCAGAAGTCTCTACATGAGACGCCTTTGAGAGCCTCCTCCAATACCGAGTCCCGCCGAGAGGAGAGTTCCAGAGGAATAAGAACTATCCTTGACAGCGGAACTCAACTCCCGCTGTACTACTTTCCCTCACCTATGCATAAGCTAGGCAAGGGAAAGATATAATTAACTCTTTTTGTAATATTACTAGATGTTATAAATTGTAATGGATAGCCTCTTGCTTGAGGCACGCTGAGCTAGGTTCGTCCATGGATAGAGTAACTTAATAGAGACACGTATACCAAAAGAGGAGACATAAATGAAATAAAGAAAATTCACAAGAAGGATCCCATGGAGATCCGAATGGGAAGAAACACCAGAATGGATACACAGGTTTAGAAGGAAATGGTCAAGAAATACCTCTTTCCCGTCTTTCCATTTTCCTACCCACTTCATCTCATTTATCTCTCGAATTTTCCTTTTTACTTTACTCTATCCAATAGTTACAATTTTATTCACAAGTATAACTATAACTTATCTTAAACACTTACTAACAAATTTTTTGTCCCCCCTCCCACCCAACAGTTTTTAGAAATCGGAGGCGATCAAAGGTCTTCGATCGGCTGTACTTCTCCGGAACAAAGAGTTTAAGCCATCGCAGAAGTCTCTACATGAGACGCCTTTGAGAGCCTCCTCCAATACCGAGTCCCGCCGAGAGGAGAGTTCCAGAGGAATAAGAACTATCCTTGACAGCGGAACTCAACTCCCGCTGTACTACTTTCCCTCACCTATGCATAAGCTAGGCAAGGGAAAGATATAATTAACTCTTTTTGTAATATTACTAGATGTTATAAATTGTAATGGAACCGTAGCCCTGGTGGCGTTTTGGGGTATGGCACGTATGGGGGAGTTGTTAAAGCGAGGGAACTCGGTCAATCAAGTGTTGGTTAAAGATGTCTTGTGGGATCCAAAAAACGAGTTCTGCACCTTGAGGATCAGGGAGGCGAAAACGGCGACCGTCGGGGAGGTACAAGACATTCACCTACGCAAGCAGCAATCCTTGCTCGATCCAGTCAGCGCCATACGCCGGCTTCTTCAATGTACAGGAGCAACCGATGATGAACCTCTGTTCTCGTATAAAGTCAAGGGAAAGAGGAAGATACTCACGAAGTCGAGAGGACTGGCCATATTCGCTAAGGTGTGGAAGGAGTCGACCAACAGCAAGCTAACCGGTCATTCTTTCCGAGTGGGCGGTGCATCACTTTGTTGGAACCTCGGGGTCCCTTTACAGGATATCGTGACAATTGGAAGGTGGAGGTCTAAGGCGTATGAGTTATATATACGACAGTATAGCAAGGAGGAAGTGGAAGAGTGTAGCCGTCTATTGGTGGAATTGCGTCTGACGTAATCAATTAGAAGCGTGTGACGTATACGTACACCCTAAAGGGTAGTTCTGGGCGGGGCTCACCGCCCGAGGCACCAAGAATGCGGGGGTCCTGGACCTCGACCCGGCCCATAGTAGATGGGGTTCTCAGGCTCAGGACTATGTCCCGAGTCGAGGGGAAGAGCTCCCATCTACGAGGCCCGGCTGTCCTACCCCCCTTAGAGCATCCACAACAGTCCACCTACTTTGCGAGCCCTGGAACAGACCCCCGATCCTGATTTTGTGGATGTAGGGGGTCAAAAAAACAGGTGTCCACAGCGGTGCACTTGAAGTCAGGGGCCAGAACTCGATTGAGTGATATGGTATGCTTGTACCATATCATCTTGTTTCGAGTGCGGTTTGAGACGTGACTATATCGGTCACGTGGAAGCAGTGGCACGTGATATTGGGAGCCCCTATAGACCTCGCAGATGTGGGGGGTCCAGATGGAAATCTGGAGGCCCCCGACGTCTCACCCCCGATTGTGCAAGCTCCGTTGGAGCGTTTTTTTGCGTTTTGACCCCCTACATCGCTGGGGGCCCGCAAAGTAGGTGGACCGTTGTGGATGCTCTTAGCCATCCTGGCGAAGGGGCCCCCCAAAAAAAAAAAAAAAAAAAAAAAAAAAAAAAAAGAAGGGCCCCCCCAAGAAACCTAGAATCATCTTACGGGAAGACTCTAGGTTTGCCTAGGACAAACCGAGTAACACACGTAATACATGTTATTTACATGCGCTACCCTTACACACACACACTGTGAAAATAATGTATTTTTCCAAGGTGAAAAATGATTGACATTAATGCACAAAATGATTAATAATGCAGAATTAATGCAGAAAAATGCAGAATTAATGCATAATTAATGCATTTTTAATCATTTTGTGAAATAAATGTAATCATTTTTCACCTCGGAAAAATACATTATATTTGCAGTGACATGAGACCCCCCGAGATAGTTTAATGCGAGATAGAGTGGATGATGGTGACAATGTGATGGCAAGATGGCTACTTTTGAAAAAGTGGGTTTTTCCATTGAGTCAATAGATACTCGTAGTATGAATGAGTGCATCTTTGATCACCTTCAAGTGATCACGGCACTGCGGACACAGGACACGACCCCCTCTCCACGGGTGTTGAAACGGTTCAGTCGGCCAGAAGTACGCACGGGTTCAGATTTGTTGAGTGGAGATTCGGACCTGACTGTGCTACTGCCAACAAGTCAAAGTGTACCACATCATATCATTTCTTCACTCGATCGAGTTGTATCCTGAATTTTGACTTTCATTCATGTTAAGCTTCAACTCTAGCTGTCTCTATCCTCTGGTCACCCTGTCTCGTCAAACTTACTGCCTGACCGGTTGCTCTCAAGAGTTCGTATGATATGACTTCCAGCGTTGATCAGCCCAACATCCCAGCTACCTCCCAGCATCTCTCAGGATTCTCCCCACCAGCAATCGAATCACATCTCCATCTCCACGAAACTGTTACGTCCTCCCTTGACAGTGTAACTAACCCTCCACCTCGGCCACGTACCCCGCCTCATCGACAGGTTCCGCCCAGGAAGCCTGTCAAGGGAATCCTCAAGCCCCCGCGTCCTCCTCAGGCGAAATTCAACTTCAAGCGTGATATACTCAATCCTTTCAGCACTCGTCTTGGATATGCCACTGTCGAAGAGAGTCCTCTTAATGCTGTCGTTGGAACTGGCACAGGCGCTGTAGGTCAAGGGGTTCAGGCAGCTGCGGGCTGGGTTGGTAGTGCGTTCAAGCGATTAGGCGCCGTAGCAGCGGCTGAAAAAGCTAAGCTCGACGATGCTCTTCAGTCTCAAACTTTGCTCCCACAACCTCGGCAATCATCTACGAGCAAGCCTTCTGACACAAATGTTCACAATGAGCACAAGTCAATTCCTCCCGTCGATCCTTCTCAAGACCGCCAAAGCTCCATATCTGTTGAGTCTATTGACAACCTCCAACCTTCGATCACTTGTCTCACTCCCGCAACATTGCCTCTGGCCACCACCTCTGTTGAATCCTCCAGTGTCACCAACTCCTCGCAAACGTTCGCAGTCTCTGTGGTGCCTCCTGTCCCGAATCCTCAAGCTGTGCTGAGCGTCTCGACTCTCAAGAAAGTTCACTTTACCATGTCAGATCTGAAAATAATCTACCCAATCAGCAACTCTCAGCCTCCTTCCTTCGATCAATTAAACAAGCTACGTATCAACGAAGCTCGGAGGTTATTAATTTCCAATCGACTTTCTCAGCCTGATCGTCTTCCGGATCAGCCCCCCAGTGGTCCGAGCTCACATCTTCCTTCAATTGACTTGAAAAATGGTTGGAACGCCTCTAGCCTTGAGTCGCTATACGACGAGTGTTGCAGAACCAGGGAAGAAGGTTGGGGTATTGTGAAATTACGGGAGATCATCAAACAGGCGGCACCCAGTCCGCCCAAATCCATAGATCTCACTGGCATACAGTTGAATGGCTGCGGCTCGGTTGAACTTTTAGGTGATTTGATCAGCGTTGACTTCGGGCTAAACTCTCTAACGCTTGAAAGTTGTGGATTGGAAGACGATACCCTCAAACCGATTTTGCATGCCCTTCTGGTCAGCGGTAGCCTGCCATCCCTCAATCTTGCAAATAATAAAAAAATTAGAGCAAAGGGATGGAGGATGGTGGCGGTGTTCTTGACCAAAGTGAGTTAATGGTCAGTTTTTACAGGAGTCAAACCCTTGATCCACGGGATGTGTCTGATGACTTTGCGAGGCGTTTCTTATTGCATGTGCAGGCGCGAGCATTACGTAACCTGGATCTTTCAGACAACTCTTTTGATAAACGTTCAGTGGAGTACCTTGCACAAGCCCTTGCCGGCCAAATTCGTAAAGATGACTATTACACACCCCAAACAGGCACTAACAAACCCTCAGGCATGACTTCTACCCTCACCACATACGATCCGACCACCTCGCGGGCAAATCATCCTGCTACGCAAATGAACCCCGAGTCTGAGAACTCTCAGAGATGTACAACAGATCAAGACTCGCACAGGACCGCATTTTTGACTCAAACAGTTCCATCTCTAGCCGACGAGGAGCAACCTTTGTTTCGGAAAGCACCTTTGTTGCGAGATGATTCACCTTCCCCCGCGTTTCAAGCACTTTCAGCGATATCTGTTGTCCCAAAAGCCGGTCCCTCTAAATTGGTATCACTGAGGCTCGACCGCTGCAACCTCAAGGTCCCACATCTGGATTTGTTGAGCCACAGCGTCAGGCTTTCGAAACTTAAACACATATCTTTGCGGCAAAACAAAATAGGTCATCTGGGAGCTGTTGCGTTGGCAGTAATGATTCGAGATTGGCCTGTGCAGCCAAATGGTTCGTCAAGTGGAACGCCTATGAGTAATTCAGAAAACGCACTCGAAAGTCTACTACGACAGGGGATCCATAGTACCGAATATGAAGCTGTTACTCCGAGACTAGCCCCGCCATTTGAGAGTTCCAACTCTGTCACCGCCAGACAGACTAATTTGCTCGACGATCACCGCATCTCGCTTAAACCTGCGTTTCAGCAACCAGATAGCCATTCCTCCGGGGCGCTGAGTGACTCGTCCGGGGCCGCTAAGCTAGGTCTACATCAGCCATCAAGTGGTATCAGCTCCATGATCCAGCAAGAGGTGAAAAAGGCAAACGAGCAACGCATCAAGCTGAAATCCAAAATTGACTCCCTTCCGAAGATGGGGCATCTCTTAACTTTGGATGTAAAATCAAACGAGTTGAAGAGTGCAGACGTATTTTACCTTGCTCAAGTCCTGAAAAAGAATCGAACGTTGAAGGTGCTCAATCTAGCAGATAACAAGATAGATTCAATCGGCCTGGTTCACCTGTCAGATGCACTGGTGAGTATGAATTGCTATGCTTCCATATATTCTACCGTTCAGGTGAAGCGTAGATAAGATCTGTTTCATGATTCTTAATGGTTTGTAGCGCTTCAATACATGTCTCGAAACCTTGGATCTGAGCAAAAATCCATGCTGCGCGGGTGGCTTAGAAGGCGTGAGTAAGCAAGAAACGTATTATCTGCGGATCAACATCTATACTAACTGCGTTTACACGCTCGCGATTCTTCTCCCCATATTGGCAGATGTTGGCGCTACGTACCACTTGTACTGTCAACACTACTTTGAAGCGACTGTTTTTGTCTGAAACAGAGTTGTCTTCGGAGGGAGCCATTGCCTTGGCTGAATTTCTCCCGGAAATGCAAAGTCTAATCCATTTAGACCTAACTGAGAATTATTCAGTTGAGTTTCTTCTTTCTGGTTTTGATCAAATAAGCACTAATCATCGAAAAACGGATTCAGATCGACATTGCTGGAGTAATGGCCTTGGCGGTCTCAGTCAAGATGAATACCAATTTGCGGTGTTTGGACATCAACATTCCTCCAAATGACCCCGATTTTGCCCGACTGTCTCAAGAAATCTTACAGTCTTGCGTTCGCAACACCGAATTAGCTCAGCGACAAGCTCTTGAAAGGGGTCAAATGACTTCCATCTCTCAACCCATGTTGAAGTCTACCGTAGTTCGAGAACTCACGACTCGTCAGCAGCATCCTTCCTCAGAGTCTACTTCTGCCATACAGCCAGCTGCAGTGAAGTCCGGGCGAGAACAAAGAAAATCCGAGCCGCTGCCTTCCCTTGAACATATATTGATCTCGGCTGAGGCTACCTGTGTTGTTCTGTCCGATCTGATCAGGGAAGATGAGAGAAGGAAATTGAATATCCAACAAGAACGTCGAGCAGCAGTAGTTGAATGCACAGACTTGGTTCGCGAGCTTCTCGATCAAGCTAAGGCGAGCCGACTACAACTGCAAGAGGCTGTGACTGCGCTCAATTCAGAGGAGTTGAAAAGTAAGACTTGTTCTGCCCTTACAGGTTTTCAGTTGACTCGACTAAACTTCCATTGTGATTGGAATTGGAAACAGGCAGGGCTACCACAATCGAATTGCAGCTGAGCAAGACCTTGAGATACGCCGACTCTATCTATCAAGGCGAGCCAGCTGTACGAGCACACGGTCACTCCTCAAGTCCAAATAAAACTCATGATGCTCTACCAACTGGTATGACAAGCGAAATCATCACTAGCAACTCTCCCACTGACAATGCTTCGACGTCCGAACACAAACCTCACGAAGTATCCATTTCCGAGCCTGGACCTTCAAGATCGTCAAGCACAGACGCGACGCACGGCTTGCATTTAGATCTCACAGGACTCTCCAACCCACTACCAATTCATGAAAGCGAAGAAAATATTGATGACGATACTGTAGATGATGATAAACCAGGTAATCATGAGCAGTCTGAAGATACGTACATTAACCGAGCGCCTAGATCGCCGGTCGAGAGCCATAGTCGGTCATTGACATTGGAGGAAGGAGAAGTATTTCGAAAAGGCACTGTGTTAAGGACAGCTGATGTAGATGATGAAGAGACTCAAGAGCTTCCCGGTGAGATCTTGAAGGAAAATGTACGTGTTACGATCCGCCTTCAAAGCTTCAATGTTGACTGACGTTTTATTTCGGCATCAGATCTTAGTAAGGGTGGTTGAAAGGAGTCCGAGGGCAATACCTGCGCCAAGTAACCCAGACCTGCCTGATATGGTCGCTGACCCTCAAGAGCCTCTGGATGACGAATGCAAAGATCCGTGACCTACGTCATTGATTATTTGGAGACCACGCTGTTCTTTATGGATTTCATCCTCTCCAACCTGAACGAGCTCTTTTTGGGTACACATAAGCTTTGTTTCTCTATCCCTATCATTGTAATTACCGTTGTGCTCCTTCTTTGTTTGAAATTGCTTGAATTCCTTTCATGTTCCATCCTACAGGAGTTCCAATACCGCTTTGAAGTCATTTCTTAATATTATAACGAGTTTTGCAGCCTTTTTTTGTGTTTGAGACCTATCGCGGTGCTTGGGTACATGATTAGTTTCGTGGATTTGCTGGGTTTCAAGTCAATCTACTACATCTTACAATCTACATCTCATCTGCTGAATTGCGCTGAGTTCTAACACTACTTGACTGTGTCCATCGATTCCTCTTCAACTTTTGTCGTCTAATTTGAATTTGGACTGAAGTCTAAAGCCTAGATTCGACAAGCAAGGCGTTTTGGCGTGAGCAACAGGTTTTGATGTCAATTTTCGCTCTTCATATAACCTCTGTTGTTAGGATTCGCCCAATGACTCAATCGATAGTTGCTCTTCAAATCTTGACAGCTCTTGAGCTCATCATTTGTTTCACTTCTGTTAAAAGCAGATTATGAGAAGTGCAAGTTTTGTCGAGCAAGTTTACATCCTTCAAATCATTTATGTGCATGTGCACACCTCACATTATTCGTCCCCTTCCATCTTCAATATTTACCTAAGGTGGACTTGAATAATAAACTGACGCATATCAAAGTCCTCAAACGAGATAGCCTTTTTACATGAGAACCTATTCGAGGTTAGGGGAGAAAGAGAACATCATAGGGAAAGCTCTTTTGTCTAACACACCACAGATCCTGACAAACTCGGTTGTGGTTGAACATGCATGCCAGTTTTGAACTTATCCTTGGGCATAAATCCTCATAATGCATCATATTGGGCTCTACCTCGGTAGACCAGGTGGGGTTCTATGATTGTTCCTTCAAGATTTTTTTTCGATGAATGAAGTCAATGTTCAACACGTCAACCCTAAGAAAGGAAGCTCAGAGCAGACTATCCATGCCCTTCAAGTTATAGTTTTCAAGCACGAATTACTTATCGAGACTCCAGATGTGATATCTCGCTGGATGAACATCAGCCCCTCGAAACTCTTAACCGGAAAGACGCATGTGATGGCGAGATGGCAATAATGGAGGAAATGACATTGCGAAAAGTCGTTGATCAGCTGGTCCCGAGACTTCGAGTTGAGAGAAACGGACGCCGTCACCTCGCACAAAGAAGAACACTGCTCCTAGGCTGTCTCTATTGCCCCCCCCACATGGTCAAGGCAAGGAAAACCTTCCCTTGGGTTTTTCAATGTGCGCAATACAAGAAAGCTGAGGTCACCCTGGCCTGATCACCCCGCGCCTCAAAATCTAATGCCCGATTCGGGATATAGCATTAGTTGTCTCTGTTTGCTGAATCTCAATCAAAGTTGATTTAAGTTTAGTTACAAACTAATGGCAGATTCTCTAAAGAAATCCTTTATTGTTGGTGATTTGGTTATGCGCTTGAGATTAAGTTTTTTTTGTTTCATCACCCATTGTAAGATTAATTAATCATACGAGGATCATGAAGAACATTGTAAGATTATTCTCAACAAATGCGCTTGATGAACCATTTCTGATGATATATCTTATAAGTCAAGACTGTTTCGAATGAGATGGATGTCAATTTGTGTTCCTAAGAATCTCAATCCTTCAAAGTTATCTATCAATTATCATTTTATCATCCTGTTTCCTTTTGAACTTCTCTGGATATCCATCAAGCTTTAGTTCCATCATTTGCATTTGGAAAGAAAGCTAGTTGGGATGGAACTTTACATTCAAGATTTACCACCATTCTCTAACGTTTCAGATACTAGATTAGAATTGATAGATGTGATCAGTAGCGTACTCCATGGTAAAACTTTTAGGGAACTGAACGTTCAAGCTCATGAAGCACTTCATAACTTTGATGTCCTTGTAAGAGAAAACTTTTCTCGACCATTTCAACCGAACTCTCAATATCGTCATTCAAGAGTTAGGTCTCGGTTTTCGGCTACCATCACTTTTCCTACGACTTTATTGGCTAAACGTTTTGACGCTTACGTCTCTGTAAATCCTTTAATCATCTTTGGTACTTTCCCGGTCAACTTCAAACAATCTACTCGTCAAGGTCGTGTTACAATGCCTCATCCTGATCTCGTGAGAGCCCTCAAACAAACCCCATTCAAGGATCGTATCTCACTCTTGACCGAACAGCTTGAACAGGAGAAACTTCTGCGTCCATTCTCAATCAGTTGTCTTGAATTTGGTCGTACCCTCAACACTGAAAGTGCCCAACCGACTTTTGCTTCTGAATTCTCTCTTTTGTTGGCCACTGGTGATTCTCTACTCACATTTGATACGGTCAATAACTTGCTCTGGATCCGATGGTCTTTAGTTTCTTCTGCCCGTTCCCTGGTAATCAGGATGAAGTCTGTACAGCGCATCGAAGCAGATCAACTGTCGGTCACTCTCTGGTTGGACACTCCTCCTACTTTTGAAGACATCCAAATCACTCGCCATGAGTCTCAGTCATATCATGATCAACGAGCGGAAGAAGGAGCACAGGTTGAATCAACTTCTCCCTTCCCCTTATCCATCCCTCACCATCTGCTGATCTCTTTGAACACCTCTGATCCAGGTCACTGAAACTCGATATCGCATTCCTTGTCCACATACCACTGAACAACACGTATTCCCTTTCGTCTCTGATCGTCTACGGATCACTTTTGGAACTTATGAAGCTTACAAAGAGTTTTGCACTCGTAAGACTACTGTTCGACTGCCCAAGATCATCCATTTTACCCGCCCCACCATTGAACAGCAGCTCTATACGCCCCAGAACCTAGCCGCTCTTGAAGCCTTTCTTGTGTGCTTTACAATCCCTGTTGGCTTTCAAATCGAAGCTCTCTTATCCCATGGGCTCCTCGATCCCGCTCAAATTCGAAATGTTTGTGAAGCTCTTGTCAGCGTGGATCCAGATCACGCCGAGCGCGCTCTGATACACTATAACGCCATTCTAGCTCAATTCCAAACTCGAGACCTTCAAAATTCTGATGATGATGAGGATGATGACGAAGGTGTCACTCTTACTTACCTCGACCGACTGACTCGATCGCTAGAATTCACTTTGATCGACAGCCGAACTCCAGATCCCCGCCTCTTGTCTGGTGACTCGTTCCCCTGTCGTACAGTCACCATCACCCCTAGCCGATTCATACTAGAAGGACCAGTGACTGAGCAGTCCAACAGCGTGCTTCGAATGTATCGCGACACGCACAATTTTCTCAGAATCTCCATTCGAGAGGAAAACGGTTTGACACTCCGACCCGATCGAGATGTGGACATCTTGAGGCTACTGAAGACACGATATCTCGACTTCTTGACCCAAGGCTTAAACTTATGCGGACGAAAATTCGAGTTTTTAGGCTACTCTTCTTCTGCGTTACGGGAGCATCAAGCTTGGTTTGTGTGCCCGTTTTATAAGGGAGACTCTCTCGTCACAGCTGCCTCGATTCGTCAACGACTGGGTGATTTCAGTAAAGTGTGAGTCTGCCATTTACGAATTATCTGCTATGCCGTGTATTTCATGCGCTGAGATGGGAATGCTGATCTCCGATGTTGAAATAGGATCAACATCCCTGCGCGATATATGGCCCGAGTTGCACAAGCATTTACATCCACTCGACAATCCCTCACTTTATTGCCTAGCCAAATCGTCAGGATTGAGGATGTCGAACGTAATGGCTCATGCTTCACAGATGGCGTGGGGACAATCTCACCCGACTTGGCGCGTCAAGTAGACGAGGTGTTGTCTGCAGGACTGCCATCTCGTAAGCGCCGACACCATGCCAAGTCTAGTTGTTTTCAGATTCGGTTAGGTGGTTTCAAGGGAATGTTGTCTGTCGATCCGACCCTGAAACAGGCGTGTGTTTGCGTACGGCCTTCGATGGACAAGTTCGTCTCACCAGACTCTCTGACCCTCGACATCGCGGGCTCGTTTACTAGGCCACTCCCGGCGTATCTGAATAGACCTATGATCAAAGTATTGGAAGATCTTGGTATACATGAACAAGTTTTTCTCGCGCTACAACGGGAGATTGTTAGCAAAGTTGAACATTCGCGTACAAATTTGCGTCGAGCCAGTGAACTCATGGATCAACTTTCAATGGCTCGCACCAGTGGAATGCCCTCAATCTTGCGACAACTGGGAACGTTGATGGGAGATGAAGGCAATACACAGTCTGATTTCATCGAGGAATGTTATGACTTGATGATTATGCAATGTTTCCGGGATCTCAAGTACCGAGCAAGAATTCCTTTGGACGCCTCTTATACGCTCGTCGGCGTTGCCGATGAAGATCAAGTTCTGCCACCCAATTTTGTCTATGCCTGCATTCAGTACCCGGGGAAGGCGCCATTCTACTTGGAAGGCCCGATCACTATCTCCCGCTCGCCTTGCCTGCATCCAGGTGATGTCAGAGTCGTCACTGGAATTGGAAAACTGGATCTGGAACGTGCTCCTCGATTGAATGCCTTGAGAAACTGTGTGGTATTCTCTGTCGCGGGTATGTCTCTCTATTAGTCATCATGTTCACTTTTGTTCTTTGCTCAATCTAGCTCTCTGTCAATATTCTCAGGCATGAGATCGCTACCGTCATGTCTTGGTGGTGGTGACTTAGATGGCGATCTCTACACCTTGATCACATTGCCTGAATTGATTCCGGCTACTGCCAGGTTGCATCCGCCGGCAAGTTACACAGCCCCTGAGATGAAACGACTTGACCGACCATGCACGTGAGCTTTTAAAGCCCGAAATGCGATACAGCGGCAGTACATTGATATTTGAGCTTTGTTTGTTGGACCAGAATCGAAGACGGCGCTGCGTTCTTTCTGGATTATATCTCGAGCGATTTGGTAGGGGTGATCGCTTCAAGACACCTTCATATCGCTGATCAAGCGGACCAAGGTACTCGTGATGATCTATGTCTTGAACTAGTATCATTGCATTCAGATGCGGTAGATTATCCAAAGACAGGGTATGAGCTCCCTTGGAATCCATTGTTCAGGACTTTGGAATTCCATTCAACTGACATGGAAAGTGGTTTCATCATTAATACAGAGTTCCGGTTGCAATCGATCAACTGCCACGAGCTCCTAATCGAATGAAACCAGACTTTATGTGTCCCGAGCACCATGAACGTCGTGAGGGTGATGACTATTACGAGTCTCAAAAAGTTTTGGGAAAACTTTTTCGACAAATCCCGGCTGAAAAAATCGACATCTTTCACCATCATACTCATCCTGGTGGTCCACCGGTCACTACCACCAGCCACGTCAGGCCG